CTCCTTCTTCTGCTCCCGCGCTCTGCTCCATCTCTCATCTCTCTCGCTCTCGCATCTCTCTCTCTGCGCTCTCTCTCTCCTTCGCAACTCTCTCCTTTCTCTTTCTCTCTCTTCAATCATCTCTCTCTCTCTCCTCCTCTCTCGTTCATCTCTCTCTCTATCTCTCTCCCTCTCTCTCATCTTTGCCTCTCTCTCATCTCTCTCTCTCGTCCTCTCTATCTTCCTCTCTCTCTCTCTCTGCTCTCCTCTCACGATGTGCCGAGCAGTGCGTGCGAGCGTGGGCGGCGTGCCATGTGTGGCAAAGACAATCTTGCATAAAGCCCACCTACATATGCATATGTGACAGTGCTGCACACTAATATAGACCAACACTATATATTATATGTATATAAAAATTAGAAGTAAAAAACACAAATCACTGATGTAGATGTGAAAAATAAATGTAGAGAAATAGAATAAAGTTTTAATTTTAAATAAAATTGAAACCACCCATATTTGTTTATTTCTACATATCTCAATACAGGGGTCTAATATAATAAATATATACTGGAGTCTGCACACATCACCCACGACCCTGCTAAAATCCTGTACACGCCCCTGCTTGGCTGATTTCATTTCATACGTCTCTTTTACAGGCGAGGACAATGAGATTGCTCGCAAGTTCCTACCTTGAGTGGGATAGCCAGAAATACACAGAGCTGGCATCGAATGCGATTTCGCTTGCAAATCATGTATGCATACCTTCATATAAGAGTATGATAAACATTGTATAGTTGTAACATTGAAACATATAAACTAAATCAACTCTAAATCAAATCATGTATCCATATCTGCATATTAACGGTTGTAAGAGTATGGTAAACTATGGATAGTTGTAGCATTGCAACATATAAACTAAATGAAGTTACATATAGTTGTGTTAAGTCAACTCGGCTGTCAAGACAACAAATTTTTAAAATACATGGTGACGGTACAAAGTATAGGTGGCATATATGAACCTAGAACAAGTTTGATTATGATTTAACTATGAGCGATGATCTTCTGAGGAAGATATGTAATTTTGAAAAGAATTTCGATTGGTAGTTATTTAAGAACGTAACAATTACTCAACCCCATGCATGTTAATACACCTGGGAGCTATAGCTACGTCTAATATAGAGATCTACTTGCTCGCAAACAACTAGCTTTGCAGTTTTCATCGCACAATTATTCCCTAGAAGTGGTAATGTTTCTCTTCCATAGCGTCCGCGAACGAAATCGACAAATTCAGACAAGGCCAAATAAAATGTCCCAAGCACGAGCACGCACGCACACCGACAGTCGTAGTATCATATATATATATATAGACTGTCCAGTGCCTACGGCAGCCTCTCCTAGAAGTACACACGCACGCACGCATGCACGCACGCCCGCGCGTTTATACACGTGTGATGGCACATCGTGCTTTCCTGTAGGAGTATTCCCATGCAGCCGTGGCTCTATCTTACATCGTGCTTTCCTGTAGGAGTATTCCCATGCAGCCGTGGTTCTATCTTACATCCTGCTTTCCTGTAGGAGTATTCCCATGCAGCCGTGGCTTCATACATAGACAGTCGATCTACAGCGATTTCCCAGTAGAATTACACGCACGCACACACGCACGCACGCACTCACGCACGCACGCACGCACGTACTACGAACGCCCGTCTATCCACGTGTGATGACACATCGTGCTTTCCTGTAGGAGTATTCCCATGCAGCCGTGGCTTCATACATAGACAGTCGATCTACAGCGATTTCCCAGTAGAATTACACGCACGCACACACGCACGCACGCACTCACGCACGCACGTAGGCACGCACGCACGTACTACAAACGCCCGTCTATCCACGTGTGATGACACATCGTGCTTTCCTGTAGGAATACTCTCATGCATCTGGACTCTATCTGAAGCTGAAGATCTTGCTGTGTGCGTGCGGCCTCGCTGCAGACGAGCAGCATCTGCAGACTGCGCTGCTAGAGTGTCTTCATCACGCTGATCTCTCCCTGGACCTCGGCCTGGGAGCTGTGGAGCTGTGCGCCAAACACAAGAGGTACGTATAGAGCATGTGTACATGTATGTCAGGGGTGAATAATGACAAAAGAATTTCTAATTTTAGAATTTGTCATTTTAGAATTTGTCATTTTAGAATTTCTCATCATAGAAAAGATGCCAAATTTGTCGTTATTCTCCCCTGATGTATATGTGCAATGCATGGGAACACGTGTAAAGTATATACATACGTTTACTAGAATCACATACCGCCAGTATCGTACTCCACGCATGTCGTCACAAACCCACCTCAGATAACTTTTAGTCTTATTCTTATGTCTTACATCTACTAGGTACAGCTTGGCGGTGTTGGGTAGCAAAGAGATGCAGGAGAGGTTCAGCGATGCGCTGGGAATACAGAGAATTCGAACCTTCTCAGTGGAGCTGCTGATACAGTCGGGACAGACGGAAGACGCAGAGACTATGCTGAAGCAATGCATTACAGGTATAGCAGCATATCTCACTGCGTCACGAGTCTTGAGAACTTTCTAAGTTCTATCTTAAAGGAATATACTTTCCCATAGAATTTGAGAGTATATTACGATAGTAGAGTCATAGGTACACATTTCTATAATTACGCGTTCATGTTTGTCATAAAACAACATTGAATGTCAAAACCTTCATTTTTGGGCGCTGACATGACACCTGCAATCGTGCTGCCTGCGAGTTTATTGAATGAGATCGTAGCTTTGGCGATTGGTGGAGGATAAACTTACATTTCACGTAAGGGGCTAAAAAGCCAATCAGCAAGGTTGCTCTTTTTTCTCCAACACGGTGGGATAGGGACGATAGAGTTCCACTCTGGTGCCACGCCTGTCTGTAATGCTATACTGATGCAAAACCTTACAATATATCGTGAGCGTTTACATTTACAGGTGACCAAGGAGCATGTACCGCATTAGATGACAGCACACGCAAATGTTTCAACGTTATCATATGGGATCAGGCAGCCAAGCTCTTTGAGGTAGGGCGTGGCTCCAAAGCTCTACTAACCCTATACACAGTGTGTGCTACTTGGAACCTCGAGAAAATAGCTTCTTGGAGTGCAAATCTTTACGTGTTTAGCTGTAATGAATTCATATTAATTACAAAAATATATAATCACTACCTATTTCGAATATCTATATTATATTCATAATATCATATGCATATAGACCTTCGAACATACTTTTTGTTAGAATGCGTGTACATATTGTCTTTCTAAACTCCTGTATTTTATTTCTGTGTTTCTCTAACTAGGCCCAGCAGTTTGCTGATGCGAGTCGTTGGTATAATTACTCTCTGGAGCTGATCAGAACAGATGGGCAGACAGAGAAGAACAAACCTTTAATAGTCGCAAAGCTGCAACGCAATTTGTGTTCCTGCTATATTTCTCTAAAGGATCTTAACAAAGTACAATTGATTGTTGTACTTTAGAAAGATTATCAGTTTCTATTACCCAATTATGTTCTGGAATATTTTTCAATCTATAAAAAATCGGTTAATATGTATAATACTACTTTAGAAGATTGCTCGGATATGCCTTACATGCCATATATTTATATGGGAAAACAAATTATTTTATGTGTAAAAAATTTTAAGCTACCTTTTAAATTTCGGAATAATGAACACTTTTTTTGTAAATACTGGTTTATTAGACGTCATATTATGTAATGTGTTCTCATGTAATTTTTTCTTCCTGTTTCCAATAATCAGTGTACACGTAAATAAAACCGTTAGGGCCTACTTAGTTGGTTGTAAACTTCTTCACAGAGCCGCAAGACTATCTGGTCAGTCTTCACAACAGTACGATTTCATAAAGTCACTGTAATAATTCTAATAACGAGAGTTTTGGGTTGCAGGCGAAATCGGCAGTAGATCTTGCACATGAGGGAGATCCACAGTGTGCATACACTTGCTACCTGCAGTTTAAACTTGCTCTTCTCCAGGAAAATACTGCCCAAGGTGAACTCATTGTAGCAATAATACGTACTGATAATTTACTTGTGTTTATCATAATGCTGTTTCATATGTAAATAAATGAGTAAATGAATATATGTATAGATAATAGATATATGTATATA